TGTTTCTGGATTGAGTGCTTCAACCATTTGGTCAAAGATGTCCTCATCCATTTCTTGCTTCTTACCATCAATTACTAAATAGCAGGGCATATCAAATCTTAATTACATAAGGCGACTTGTCTTTAAGTATCTTTGGGGTGTTCTGTGTTCGCAAATGAGGTGTCCCAAAATGATGTGAAAAGAAATTCGAAAAGACCAGTTTAGGACACTTGTTGAATACTGTTCCTGCCGCTGTCAAAGTTGTTAGAATGCCATTGTCGTTGTTGCAGCTTGTTGGGAAACTGCAACTGCATTGTCTTCAGTTGAAGTTAGCAGTATGGCGAAGCCTCATTACCCAAAAAACATGCTCATCTGCCATCAACTCCTGCAGGGCGGATGGTTTGTCTCTCTTCGTTTCCACGAAAAAACAACTTGAACTATTTCATCACATATGCCTATATATATATACACATAATAAACATTAACCCTGCCACACCGTCCAAACCCGTTGGATGCTCCAGACCACTCCGACGAAACTGGATTTCCCTGAAGAAACAAGATGAACAAATCGGGAGGATTAAAGGGTCTGTGGGTTTGCGCGGGTGTGTGGTGCATATGAACCAATACATGCTCAAGGGGCATGGACAGAATGCTCCCCCAAAAGATTGCTAAATTAATCATCGCCAACGTCAAGTTTTAGAGGCTGCTTGGAAATGTCATTCCAGCAAATCTTTGGTTGGGTTTTCACCGAAACAATCAGGTTTTGAAGGCTGTTTAATAGTTCGCTGCTTCAAGGCTTTGATAGAACCCGTTTCCAAAATCTTGCATTATGACAAATGCTGGGATTGACCTTCTAATAGATGGTGTCCCTGATGCCTTCACAACCTTGGCGCGGACGCATTCGGCAAGTGGAAGAGGGCAATTGGATGCAATTGGATACTGTAAAGCAGTGAAAAGTGGTTGATATCATCACCAAACTTCTGGGCCTGAAGAATGCTACATTTGAGAGTGCCAATCCAACAACTGCGAAACTAACCAATCTTCAATCTCTGCCATTTCATTTCACTTTTGCTCATCCAGTCTTGGAACACTGTGCAGTCTGTCACACCGGTGCATTGTGCAGCGCAGATAGAATGCATCCCGGATTGAAGGGTAGGTGCAACCCCAATAAAAATAATCACCTTTCTGTGTTTTGCCAGTCTGGTTGGACGCAATGCGGATTGCACCATCCATGAATCACGAATGGCACCTTCAGTGCATAACGGATTGCACCCGACCTGCAATCCAAAAGTCCTACTGGTCCTACAAGGAACAAAGCACTCTCATTCACACGCCACTGCCACTTCCGCCTTCAGACCTTCTTCAAAAGGTCATGCACTGTGCGGGACACTGCGCAGTAGCGTCGCTCCTCTGCCCGCGCATCCACATAGATGCAATGAGCTCCTTGTCGCCGCACCGCTGCGGCCATGTGCGCAGGCGTGAAGTGCTCCCTGAACCTGTCAGCATCAACACACTGCTCGAAGGAGCTATGCGCCACGGCCTTGGCCAAGGTGCGTGCCATCCTAACCTCTTTTGGGTCAAAGCCACCTTGGTTGTCAATGCCCAAGAAGTTCTGGACCTGACTTCTTTGCACCGTAAGCCGTTTGGACTTTGCTTCTTCCCACGATGTCTCTTTGGCATTTTGCGCCACGTCCTGCAGGAGATGTGGGCAAGTTTCAAGGTTTCACGGTTCGTTGATGTTTCGGGTTGTTGTCCCATGGTTTCATGACCCTTGTCCTCCATTACACCGATGTTGCCACCTGTGAGTTGAATCATGTCGCTCTTGTGCGTGGAGGCCTCTTCACCGCCATGATGACGTAGGAATTCCTCAACCTGACAAGGAGACGTCCATCTGCAAACATCCCAACCCATGCCAGAAGTAGCACCAACAAAAAGCACTAAAGTGATTGAAGGTGACTGAACAATTACCACATGAACTGAAGCTCTTCATTATGGCCTCCTTCTGCGAGAGCTCTTCACTCGTCAGTGGTGGAACGAAGAATCGGCGCTCACGACCGTCTGCGTCAAAAGCCATGGCTGACACTGCAGAACTGACCATCACCAGCACTTTGGCAACCTCGTCATCAAAGCCCCATGACTTCGCAAAGGCGGAGACGCTGCTCATCACATCTGGATTAAAGACACCACGAGGAACTTCAAGGATGATGATGGGTTGCCGTCCCATTTCTTGTTTGGCATCTCTCAAACCACGCACCACCTCCTCTTCATGGAGCACTGCCAACGCGCTCATCACCTTTTCCGTGGCCAAGTGGTTGTTCTGCGTGAGCTTGATGTGGAGCACTCCATTGTTCCACTGCTTCTCCTGCAAGACTTTCCAAAGGATGGTGCTCTTGCCCACTTCATGATTCCCCCAGATGAGGATTGAGCGGGGGTCGTCCAAGTCCAACAACTGGTGCAGTTCGTCCTGCTACAGTGCATAGTGAGCATAGTGCATCAAATTCAAAATGCCAATATGACATGGAATAACACCATCTCAATAACAAATCCCTTCTGTCAAGAAACACACAGGCAAACACAACAAAAAAAAGGTGGTGCTTGGACGCCTTGATTATCTTCCGTTCAATCTTGACACGTGGCTCGCGTGCTTTGAAAGAGGCATTCACAATGATATTCTTCACTCGCCTCTTGTTCTTGACGATGCCGTTCTTGTTCTTGACGATGCCGTTCTTGTTCTTGACGATGCCGTTCTTGTTCTTGACGATGCCGCCACATATCCCATCCAAAGGTCACGATGGCCAACGAGCAAACACAACCAACCAACCACTTTCCAATCTGCTGTTTCGTGGTCGGCTCCTTCTCTGGAGCGTTGACCGTTGTTTGAGAAGCAACGGTGGTTTCGTCGGCCTGACATGAGAAGCCGAAAACCACAACATCGGGCAATGAGGCAACGCGACATACCCATGGCGGAAATCTCCAGATGTGCTGGAGCTCAAGCACTTTACGATTTCTTGATGCGTTGACTTGTTCATAGTGCAACACATGCCGCAAGTAGAACTCATCTTATCTTGTGAGCATTTGTGAGCCTGTCTGCTGCGGGAGAAAGCAATCAACATCTCTGGGTGTAGTGTAATGCCACAATGTGTACATAGAGTGTACATAGTGCCTCAAGAAACGCAATATGTCCTCAAAAGTGATGCTTCCATGCAAACGAAACAGCGCGCACATCTCATCTGGGCGCCCCCGACGAAATCCAGAAAGTCCATGAAGAAGTCCGCAAAAAATGAGGCGAAGCGAAAGACGTTCAAATCAAAACACAACCAAGAAAAAACGCCACCAAAAAAGACGAGAATGAGAGAATAAAAAATGAAAGATGTTGAAAGACATGGAACCTTTTGAAAGATATCAAGTTGAATGTTCTGTCTTGAAACTGATGATAAGGAAACACAATAAAATCATACCCAAAAAAAGACAAGACATACCTTGACAATAAAAAACGACAACCACAAGTACACTATCCACAGTATCTCCCTCATCTGAACCAAAACACAAACCCCAACAGCCTAAACAAATCCTACCCTCATCTGAACCAAACATTGACACATCACTTTAGCATCAAAATGACCCCCAAAACCCCACCTGAAAAATCATCAAAACCAAGGATGAAACATTGAACCCCAACACAAAATCATAACAAGCAACATACCAACATACACGCCCTGAAACCCCCATTTTACCATTTTTTATGGGAGATATTCCGTTTCAAACAATGCTAGTCACATCACTGGGCGGTAATACCTTTTTGTGCAATCAATCACTAGTCTCAATGGGATTGTTTTTGGGCATTTGTACTTTTCAATGACTTCGTTTCCATGCACTACTGAACTACTGCATTTCTTGGGATTATTGTCCATAAGGAATCGAGTTTTCATGGCACAAAATACCCCACTCATCAGCTTCACTTTCACTCATGAAACATGGCTTTCTGGCGCTCGCTTCGATATTACTCTGGAAGCCTTGGAAAATGCGCTTCTGTTTACTATACACCTTTGAACATTCATTTCATTCATTTCTGTTTCACCTTTGAGTCTCGTTTGTGAATCCATCATTGATGTGGCAGCAACTGGCTGGGATGACGACGATGAAACGGGGCTAATGTTGGGGACAAGACAAATAGAAAAATGACCAACCACGGATAAAGAAAAAACTCAGGGTAACTGGGCAATTGTCAGGTTGCGGTTCCTAATAGGGGCTACAATGATCTCCAAAAAATATCGATGGGGCTACATTGACTACATAGGATTCCAATCACTTGGGAGTTCAAGTTTTGGTTGTGGGAAGCCCATCACAGTGTCGCGATAGGCAGGGGCCTTCCCCGCTGCACCCTTCGAAATGGGTCCCCATAACCCCAATCAACTCCCACTTACGCCTAGTTCTGGGCACTTTTGGCCGGGGCTTGTGTGTGTGTGTGCGTGTATAAATATATATATACACGGTATATAGATACATACATACATACATACATAACATTACATTACATTACATTACATTACATTACATTACATTACATTACATTACATTACATACATACATACCATACATACATACCATACATACATACCATACATACATACCATACATACATACATTACATACATACATTACATACATACATTACATACATTACATACATACATACATACATACATAACATAACATAACATTACATTACATTACATTACATTACATTACATTACATACATACATTACATACATACATTACATTACATTACATTACATTACATTACATTACATTACATTACATACAGTACATACATACATACATACAGTACATACATACATTACATTACATTACATTACATTACATTACATTACATTACATTACATACATACATACACATCTACATATATATGCAGTATATACATACTAGGTACATATGTCTACCACAGTATATCCTTTTTTTCCACCTTGATAAACCCATAGAGGTGATACACCCAGCTGCCTCTGTGGGCACGCTGCACTTCAGCTGTCTTGCCGCCTCGTCGCAAAATGCGACGCCGGGAATCCAAATCCGAGAAATCATTCTTTAACAAAAACAAGATTAAACTTTGTTGAGTCTATCAATTTCGAAAATCAAGATTGTGAGCATTCGTTGGCAACTGGATCTTCCCAGCACTTTGTGATCTAATAGAGTTCATCCCGTTCATCGGATACACACCATTGGGATGTACAGCTCTTACCAAACGGAACCTAAGAGCACTAGAAGATCAAAATTTACGCTTGTGCAATGTTCAGCCATTCATAATTCATGTAATGACCCCCAGTCAGCAATGTCACAGAGTATCTACACATCACCAATCAGTCAGAGACAATGGCCAACCTTCTAGATCACCAGCATTTGTTTATTTCCACAACTCCTTACTTGTTAAACGTGCATCCCCAGTCAGTGTAGTCACCCTGGCTGGTATGTGTTCAATTCTTGCTTTAGAATGGGTTATATCTAACCACTAACACTGCAGGTTACTTATCAAGAAAGCATCCAAGAGGATGTCATTGTATTTTTGAGGCACACAATAATGATCAAGCAACATAAACCATCTCTTTTGTCACTTGGAAACCTCACCACTCAACGTTTTTCTCGCCAAGGTGACTTTCTCGGGTCCCGACTGGCAATTTTCTCCGCGGAATTCAAGGTTTTCGAGGTGCGCGCTTCTCGTGCTTTCGTGGCAACCTGGTGCCAAACAAGATCCAACGTGGCGCCAAAATGACCTGATCCGATGTACTAACAATTGAAGTATACACATCATATCTTAGATACATCAAAGTCGATATCTCTATGTTTGTATATATATGTATATATATATATATATCCAGCTGTACATTTATTTATATTGTACGCATATACTATGTTACAATATACATATATATATATATATACATTGTATACTTTATGCAAAGTTGTCATGTTTGCCTTCCAAGTACATCTATATACAGTGGACCTTTTCCAAAATCCACATCATGGGGGGACACTTGGCGTGGCTGTGGCCATCACACGCTGATGGCTGGCTCCAACATGTGGCTGGGTCCCTCAAAGAAGTTTCTTGGATTGCTGTATCGGGACAGCCGCGCCCTTCATCGTGCTCTGTGACCGAAAGAGATCCAACATATTGTATATATATATATATATGTATATTGTATATATATATATATACATAGTGTATATTATATATATATGTACAGACATATACACATTGATATGTGTGTCGTGTATATATATATATATACATATACACAGCATATACACGTATATTATATGAACTGTACATCTACATCGGTATATGAAGAGTCGCCAGGTTGGCCGCAGATATGACGGGCTGAGGTTATAGCCCGGCAGGACATGGAAAAACGTGGGAAGCCCACGCTACCTTCACATGATCCGGAGTATTCCTCCATTATACCATCTGGTTATTTAACATAGACCCTGATAATAACCAATGTTTAATGGATTTAATATAGTTTCATATTATATGATATATATATATATACCAATATTATATATATATACCAATATTATATATATATACCAATATTATATATATACCAATATTATATATATATACCAATATTGTATATATATATATATACAATCTGGTTCCTTGACATAGCTATGGAAAATTCATTATAAATGGAGGGTTCATGGGAAAATCATCTGTAAATGGGCCATTTTCCATAGCTATGTTAAATAAACAGAGGGTGTGCCCAAGCATTTGTTCATCCATTTCTCCAACATCGTGCGGTTTGCGACAAATCCCACTAAGATGAACTAAAATGAACTAAGTGGAAGTCGCATTCCTTCAAAAACTCATCGTCTGTTGCCCGGCTCGAAAAGCCACACCTTGGGAGAAGGCATCTTCTTTGGTGCAGTCTTGAGCGACCTGCAAAAATTCTGTGGGAACAGATGTAACAGATCGTCCCTAAAAAAAGCTCTGGTACAAGCTACTACAGAAACAGTATCTGGTTATTGATCAAAACCCCAGTACATTGGTAAACATCAAAAGTCAAAGTAGCTATTAAATGGATGGCCCCATAGGTTTTGACCCATACCCATCTATGTAAGACTTGAATTAGATAATATTAGATCAGTAAGATTCATGAACGGCACCTATGTCACAATCTGATTAGACTTGCGATTGTTGATTCACCACTTCCGTTTCTGGATGCAACCCTATGGGAATCGACCAGATTCTTCCTGCCTCAAGCTCCACCAGATGGCAAAATCACCAGAAAAAATTGCGGGAACCACTGGTGGGATCTATTGAACCCAATGCCGGGAGCAGCAGCAGCTTTTCAATCAATGTGCGTCTCAGCCGCCCGATCCAAAAATGACATCAGCTGGGGCTGCTGCCATTATCACTGCCTATGTCAACTGATTTGGAGCTTTCACCCCCCACGGCTTCAAAAATACTCATCATTTCGGAAACTATTGGGATGAGGTCTGGGAATACTGTATACACTTGGGACCTCGGAAACTGGGAATACTGTTAGTATATAGTTAAAAAATATCACTTTTCATAGAAATCAAGAGCTATGTCAGAATAGAAATCACTTGTATCCACTTTTTCCGCGATTGGCATCCGAAAATTCTCCAAACACCGTCTGCGATCTTCGCGATCAGCTCACTGTGCAGCTACTGGAGGAAGGTTTACCTGGGTCGGTGCCCGGGTGCCCCCCAGGCGTCACCATGTCACCATGTTTCAATACGAAAAGCGGTCCATGACGACTGGATGATGCGGGGTACCCCATGACGACTGGAAACCAGGGAGAAACTCGAGATCTGAAAAACTTGGGACACGACGGTTTGCTGTTTCAATAGGGGAAAGAAAGCAAGGTTCCGTCACCGTTGTGATTCAACGGTGAAGCAACAGATTGGTCCAATGTCACCGAATTGACGTCCAAGGTATGTACCGGATGGCCCTTTGTGGAAGCTCAGAAGTCCAGCTGGTAATTTCACACTGAAAACCAAAAAAAGAACTACAGGATGGGCCCCCATAATTAGCTAAGTTGGTTTATAACTATAATAACCATAGTGTGGTACTTATAACATCTTATAACTATATTTAGATGGGGTTATAAACCAACAAACATAACTGGAGGGCCCCATCCTGTATAAATCTCGAAAAACTCGGGCCACATCCAATGTGACTACATCCAACTACATGTAGCGTAAAGAATAATTTATATAAGAAGATCCAGTCAAAGATCAGTCACCACTGGGCAGCTGAGTTACCACAACCACCTAAACTGATCTCCATTTCGTAGATGGCCATCTTTAAATCCACCATAGTCCAAACCTCACAGCGCCAGCGACCAAGTGCTGCCACGAACATGTCGAACAAGGAAAAGGGCAAGCCCCAAGAATAAAGTGGGACATCTGGGGATATGCATTAGACATAATCTATAACCAACTGGAAACACGGTTCTATCTTTTTGGGGATTTCTGCAAATATTTACCAACTTGTTCTTCAATTTTCTCGATTTTTTCTAGACATCTCCAACTTCTGGTCTATGGAAGATGTCAAACATCTTAAGGAAAGCACAATCGCTGATTCGTAGGTCAAGCAACTGGAATGAAGACTGTCACATGTTGATTGTAGATGTTCATGTACAGGTTTTTCATCGGAAAACGTGGGAAAACACCAACATCCAATCGTAAGAATCATCGTTCTCCCATATTTCTCCGTTGTTGCACCAGAAAATGCTGGGATTCCCAGGATTCCCAGAGATTCCAAGGGGCCAAAGGTGTGTTGTCGTTGGGTTGCCACTTGCCTTTGGCCAAGTAGAAGGCCTATCGCAGCACAGCCCATGGATTTTGTTGGGAAGAACCAGATTTCTTTGGAAAATCTACAGGAAACCATGGTTTTCCCCATGAAATTCTAAGGGTGTCCTGTAAGTGTTGCCTTAAACCAATGATATATGTGGTTTTGGTGATGCCCAAAAAGATAGAAAAGGTTCAATTCATCACTATTTTAGTATATAGATCGTTTCACTTTTCTATCTCTTTGAGGGTGACCATATAGATATACTATATATATAATATATAGAGAGAGAGATAGTCGTTGTTCAGGGCTATCTATAAGGTCTGTATTTGAAACAATAATTTAAAAAGAAAAACATACCACTATAAGTCACTATAACAGTGATTGAAAAAAAGGAATATATCCCAAATGAATGGGATTGCACTTCATTGGCCCTTTTTTCTCCTCCCCAACAAAAGCTTGCGGCGTTCCTCTGCGCACATCCACGCACCTTGGTTATAGATACTGCTCACATCAAAACCTCTGTAGAGGATGTTCCAGCCAGCCCTCTTTGATAAAGGGTAAAGAGTATATAGTCTGGGTAAATTATAATATTTCACTAACCTGAATTGTTGGCCCATTTGGGGATGATTCCTCTATAAAAACCATGATTCCAGTGAGGGAGAACAGTGAGGTCGTGATGAAATTTACCCAGATATAGTATATAATAACATACAAGAACCGCACAAGAGTTTTGGTCACTGCTAAGTTGGGAAGTGGTGAAATTCACTGGAGTCCACAGCAATCAGATACACGAAATGGGCGTGCAAACATCACAAATGCAAGAAAAGCAATATTATGTGTATATATATATGTATAAATGGTACGGAGAGAATTCGAAAATGGAGATTTTAATGATGTTTGAGCTAAAGATGCTATTGTTTTCGATTGCCACTGTTTTCGCAACAAAAAGAAACTAAGGAGGTCTCCTAAAATTGGGATACCCCCAAATCATTCAAGTAGACTATGACAACTGTGGACACCGCAGGTCGCCAAGAAACGGCATCGAACTTACCATATTTCTTTTATGGTTTATGGCAATTTGTTTGATGTTTATTCATAGTTTATTCATAGCATAGATACTGAATGATATTGATATATCCATGATATATCCAACCATATCTGACATGTGATGTGTTATGTCTATATGGCTATGGATCAATACCTATACATACCATTTTTAGGGGGATGAACATCCATTTACCAGCTATTTTGATGTTCACCAGGGGGATACGGTTTTGACCTATCCCCATATCCTAACGTCTAAAAATAACCAGTCGCCAAGGTGCCAAATTCGCAGTCGTCGCCCGTGATGGCAGCTAAGGCCCTGGAGTCGATTTTTCGGATCAGGTGGGTGGGTAAAAATGACATGCTTTGAACTGTTGAAGCCCCATTTTTAATGGAAAACCCCCATAGTTTAGAGAAACTATGGATGTAGTTTTTCGGGATGTTTGGGGTTTACTTGGCAAGACTTGCACTATGAAATGTACTGCAGTCTAGCTCTCCAAAGCAACGTCGGCCACTGTGGCAGGACAGCAGGTTCGTACCTCGCGAGGTACAACTGCTGCTTCTTCAGGAAGTCCTCCTGTTTCAAGTGACTGGAACCAACTCGCAGCATGTCTCTCACATGGAAGATCCCTGTTCTGAACATCAAGCGTGGAGGATTCTTCACACCTCAACACTAGCAACATGCAGTTTTGAGCGATTGGGGCCTGGTCATGTGCCTTTCGACCGAGAAGCCTTCAAAAATCAAAGCCACCCATGTGGCATATGTCCTTCTTTGTGCGCTGGTAGAGCTTTCCTGTAGGGAGACGGATCACATGACCAAGATCGATTCAAAAACAGTATGTTTACTTTGTTTGTTGGTGATTTGTGTTAGATATGTAACAGGAGCAAACCAGACTTGTTTCCGAATCTCGCTTTGCCAGACGGACAACGACACTTGAAACAGTAACTGGATGACATTGTTGCGTAAGTTGCCACGAGAGTTTCTCAACAGTGAGCACCTTGGAGGTCGCATAGTCATCATACGTTTATGAAAAATTGTCATTACATAAGGTGCTCTTCATGTGTGTGTGTATATATATTTTGTTTGAACCTGTTCTATAGTATGTGTATTTGTATGTATTATATGTGTATGTCATTTAGATATATATATATAATATAATATAATATAATATAATATAATATAGTATAATATAATATAATAATATAATATAATATAATATATATACATGTGTGTGTGTGTCATGAGTATATGCCGATTAGACCAACCATTGGATGCAAAATGCATACACAATACATGCTAATACCAACTTCATCAATTAAATTGCAATATGCCAACAGATATAACTATACATAACTATGTATAAATATATAAGTACTGTATAGTACATTATCATTTAACGGCATAACCTGAAGCTGCCAACGGTCATTTTCCGAAGTCCAGGCACCGTAATACGCGCTGATCATAGGGTCGAAGAGGCACCACTGCGCCTTGCTGTGGCGGTTTCAGTGTCCCAGTCCCAGCACCGAATCCAATAAACGTGGGGTAATGCCAAAGGGGTTATCTCGTTTAGAGGAACAACAAATATATAAAAATTGTAATATCCAACTGAACTATCCTGTAGATATGCTAAATGTGGGATCTCTTAACAGAAAGCAACCTGTGACAGGTAGGGTGACTTCCGAAGGCCCACAGAAACGGAGCCTGGTCAAGAACCACTCAAAAAAAGGACTATTGACACGAAGCCCGTGGAGGTCTTACCCCGAATGAGAACATGTAAGAATTGACCATCATGTGTGTATCAACATGTACAAACATGTAGAAACGTACAAACTATAACTCTGAAGAAAGCGGACATGACCATGGCACCATGGCACTACAGGTGAACTCCTCATGAGATCCTGGGTGGCATCCACTGTTTCAGATGACAGTGGAAATGCGCGACCCAAACGTCCACAACAACATTCCTGTGACACAGCGTTTTCTATGGGATATGGCTTCAAATCAGCACTTTTCCCACTATTCCATAGCTTCCAACATGTTCCAACCCCGACCTCCTCGCCGATTTTGATGTTGGCATCCCTTTCTTTCAGTTCTTCATCTGTGAAGTGCTTGGTGGGATCGGCGTAAAGCTCCTGGATCTCCGCTATGCCAAACACGTGAAAAAACCTTGAAAAACCACAAGGCCCAAAGACCTGGTAGACCAAATTCTTGGCACACCGGGCTGATCTTTCTAGTCATGAATTGTTAGCTTTTTTGCCACAAGTCCCGCATTGAAAAACCTGTGCGTAAGTGGCTAAAACAAAGAGTCAACCAGCATTTGTTCTTCAATAAAATCTCAGATGCAGTCATCTAACTCCAGGCAAGATCTAGTAGAGGGCCCTTCTTCGGAATCCGTTGAATTCTCCCTGACAATCGTTTCCGCAAAGCCGGAAACACCCCCAGGCCATTGACAATGAAGTTTTCGTCTCAGAGCAGACACAACTTGAGAAGAGATTGGATGATGATGATGATGATTCTCCCGAAAGTATTTAAGATAGCATTTGATAGCAACTAATCCCCCAACTCATCATCAGCCAACCATCATTTCTCGGAAAAATAAGGTTTATATATATGTATATATATATATTATCCACAAAATCCCACACATATATCCCCGTAGTTTGATGGTTAAAACAGTGTTAAAACCCATGGCGTGAATGATGTGCTAAAACCACGCCGTCCTTGTAATCTTTGGACCTGGGGGAAACCCCCACCGACTCCACAAGGCTGGAAATCCGCCCGGCTGGAAATCCGCGAACAAAATGGAGGTTTTTTGTATGGGAAAATCATCTATGAATGATGGATGTCTATATAAATGATGGATTTCTATATAAATGATGGAAATCTATATGTGCCATATAAATGATGGATTTTCCACATGTGAAATTAATACAAAGGACATCTTTTTGGAAAGTGATCTGTGGCTATGAAGGCTTGGTTTTCCCGTTCATTCCGTTTGCAATCCTGAGAAAAATCCGCAACCGGGTGAACAACCCGCTGATTCCAGGTATAACAGTTGGGCGGGTGGACAAACCACACCCATTCATCACTGGGAATTTCCCTCATCGGGGCACACTGATTCACTCTTGGATACTCTTGGCAAATGGGCTACTCTGAGTGTCAAACCAGTAGCTGTCTTTGCGGTACCTCCCGACGAAAAACAAGTTGTGGCAGCGGTAGCAATGGATGGCAATAGGCTAATAGTAGGTACAAGCACATGTCAGTAGAATGTTTTTTGCATTTTTTTGCGCGAACTGTAGTTTCAGGGTCCCAGTTGGTGTCGTGCTGTTCCTCTACCCCCTATCACGAGCCATCCACTTCGGACTGAGCTTTGCGTGTAGAAACCACCCACAAGTTCATCTGTTACACTGTGGGTCGGCCTTACTTTGAATGATGACCCCATACTCATATTGTTGGTTATAGAGTCATTCCCCACTTTGCGTAAAGGTCTTTGTTGGTGAGTTGGTGATCCAATGTTTTCAAAGCCTTTCTTTGGATTTGGACGATCTCCTCCCATTGGGGCTCATTCATATCCCTCCAAAGTGGGGGAACCAACTGCCAGGAACCCTCGTGAGTCATTTTCAGTAAGGAATCTGCAGAAACCCATGATCCAAAATTGGGTCCTCAAGGTCGAAACCTTCATTTTTTGGATGATTCATATCCCCCACGTCACACCCGACCGGACTCAACCTGCACACGGCAATGTGTCCCGTGATCGTTTCGATTCGTTCCAAGATTTGGGCTCCCACTGCCTCGGAAGGGGGGAAGTTTTCCAGCCACGGAGCTGATTACCCGAGGCGAATCGATTCCTGGGACATTTCATATTGTCACCCACTGAACCGATTCCTGGCACAACACACTGAAAATCAGAGTTGAAGGGACTTTTTGTATGTTGCAAAATAATTTCCAAGATGGAAAAGGAAATAGAGGATTCCACCCCTCCATAACCTCTGTATTTCGGGTATCATTTGAGGGGTTAGAGGAAGTAATTTGGATCCATGGTAGGACCTCCAACCATCCAATCTGGGGGCTAAGTTTGACCCCGTACCCATTTGCAGCAGACTTTGGCTCAGAAATGGGCTAGGCAAAGGGACCACAAATTACTGGCCATCCATTCTTTAGTGACGCAATAGTCACTTCAATAGTAATTGGATGTAATTGGTTTTAAGCTGTACCGTTCCGAAATTAAGTCTTTGGGAAAGTGTGACCCACTCCCTGGTTCTTGAAAAAAAAGAAAACAACAAAATCGGCCGGGCCATCAAAAATTCCCCTATCCCATCGTATATTGCTTGGTGAAAACGTTTCCCTAGTATCGGTGATCATAAATAATCCCAAGGGGATAGTTCTGATCAGTACTAGGGATATGATCACCATTATTGCAAGTCTATAACATTATCTATTGTGATAATCCCAAGGTGTATCAGCAATCCGATATGTTATGATATTCTTGCAAGTGGAACTGCAAGTTACGGCAGCAAGTTCACACCACAGATTCTTGTGCCCAGGTGATCGACATGAGTCTCGTTTCCATACTTTTATATAGTTCTTGCTGACCCGATATTTGAGGATTCAATGCATCTAAATGAAAATAGAACCATACAAAATATCGCGATATATGTATAGTTGATACTGTGGATGGAAGAAACCCTGCACCAGTTGATAGATGGTTTATCCCATTATTTAGAGGGTTTCAACCATCCAAGGTGGTGCAGGATTTCTTCCACCCACCGTATCCACCACGATTCGTCCAGCATCCCTGGGCAGCCCAGCTTGGTCCACCACATCCAGGGGATAACATAAAAAAATCAACGCGCCATCTGCATCCTGGGGCGGAGAACGGAGGAGCCGAGCTCTACCAGCCAGATTTCATGGTGTTTAATGGTTATTATTGGTGTTAATTTGTGTTTAATGGTGGTGTTTAATGATGTTTATTGGTGTTTAATGGTGTTTATTGGTGATTATTGGTGTTTAATGATGTTTCTTGGTGTTTAATGGTGTTTATTGGTGATTATTGGTGTTTATTGGTGTTTATTGGTGTTTATTAGTGTTTACTGGTGTTTATTAGTGTTTACTGGTGTTTAATGGTGTTTATTGGTGTTTAATGGTGTGTATTGGTGTTTAATGGTGTTTATTGGTGATGATTGGTGTTTATTGGTGTTTAGTGGTGTTTAAAGGTGTTTATTGGTGTTTAATAGTGTTTATTAGCGTTTACTGGTGTTTAATGGTGTTTATTGGTGTTTATATAGTTTTTATTGGTGTTGATTAGTTTATTGGTGTTTAAAGGTGTTCATTGGTGTTTAATGGTGTGTATTGGTTTTTAACCGTGTTTATTGGTGTTTATTGGTGTTCATTCGTGGTTATTGGCGTTTAATGGCATTTAATGCTGTTTATTGATCTTTATTGTTGTTAAATGGTGTTTATTGGTGTTGAATGGTGTTTAATGATGTTTATTGGTGTTCATTCGTGGTTATTGGTGTTTAATTGTGTGTATTGGTGGTTGTTGTGTTTAATGGTGTTTATTGTTGTTTAATGGGGTTTATTGGTGTTTATTGGTGTTCATTCGTGGTTATTGGTGTTTAATGGCATTTAATGCTGTTTATTGATCTTTATTGTTGTTTAATGGTGTTTATTGGTGTTGAATGGTGCTTATTGGTGTTTAATGGTGTTTATTGGTGTTTACTGGTGTTTAATGGTGTTTATTGGTGTTTAATGGTGTTTATTGCTGTTTAATGGTGCTTATTGGTGTTTAATGGTGATTATTGGTGTTTATTGGTGTTTAATGGTGCTTATTGGTGTTTATTGGCGTTTATTGGTGTTTAATGGTGTTTATTGGTGTTTAATGGTGTTTGTTGGTGTTTATTGGTGTTTAATGGTGCTTATTGGTGTTTATTGGTGTTTATTGGTGTTTAATGGTGCTTATTGGTGTTTAATGGTGTTTATTGGTGTTTTTTGGTGTTTATTGGTGTTTATTGGTGTTTATTGGTGCTTGTTGGTGTTTATTGGTGTTTAACGGTGCTTATTGGTGTTTATTGGTGTTGATTTGTGTTTATTGGTGTTTAATGGTGCTTATTGGCGTTTAATGGTGTTTATTGGTGTTTATTGGTGTTTATTGGTGTTAAATGATGTTAAATTGTGTTTAATGGTGTTTAATGGTCTTTATTGGTGTTTATTGGTGTTTATTTGTGTTTAATGGTGCTTATTGGTGTTTAATGGTGTTTATTGGTTATTATGGGTGTTAATTTGTGTTTAATGGTGATTAATGATGTTTATTGGTGTTTAAAGGAGATTGTTGGTGTTTATTGGTGTTTAATGGTGCTTATTGGTTGTTATTCGTGTTTATTGGTGTTTATTGGTGTTTACCGGTGTTTATTGGTGTTTACTGGTGTTTATTAGTGTTTACTGGTGTTTAATGATGTTTATTGGTGTTCATTCGTGGGTATTTGTGTTTAATTGTGTTTATTGGTGCTTATTTGTGTTTAATGGTGTTTTTTGGTGTTCAATGGTGTTAAATGGTGTTGAATGGTGTTTAATGGTGTTTATTGGTGTTTATTGGTTTTTTTTGGTGTTTATTGGTTCCTATTGGTGTTTATTGGTGTTTATTGGTGTTTAATGGTGTGTGTTGGTGTTTAATGGTGTTTATTGATGTTGATTGGTGTTTATTGGTGTTTAATGGTGTTTAAAGGTGTTTATTGGCGTTTGATAGTGTTTATTAGTGATTACTGGTGTTTAATGGTGTGTAATGGTGTTTATTGGTGCTAATTGGTTCCTATTGGTGTTTATTGGTGTTTAATGGTGTGTATTGGTGTTTAATGGTGTTTATTGGTGATGATTGGTGGTTATTAGTGTTTAATGGTGTTTAAAGGTGTTTATTGGTGTTTAATAGTGTTTATTAGTGTTTACTGGTGTTCAATGGTGTTTATTGGTGTTGAATAGTGTTTATTGGTGTTTAATGGTGTTTATTGGTGTTGATTAGTTTATTGGTGTTTAATGGTGTTTAAAGGTGTTTATTGGTGTTTACTGGTGTTTAATGGTGTTTAATGGTGTTTATTGGTGTTTATTGGTGTTTATTTGTGTTTAATGGTGTTTAATTGTGTTTATTGGTGTTGATTCGCGTTTAATCGTTTTTTTGTGTTTAGTTGTTTTTATTGGTGTTTATTGGTGTTTAATGGTGTATATTGGTGCTTAATGGTGTTTATTGGTGTTGATTGGTGTTTATTGGTGTTTAATGGTGTTTCAAGGTGTTTATTGGCGTTTAATAGGGTTTATTAGTGGTTACTGGTGTTTATTGGTGTTTATTGGTGTTTACTGGGGTTTAATGGTGTTTATTGGTGTTCATTCGTCGTTATTGGCGTTTAATGGCATTTAATGCTGTTTATTGATCTTTTTTGTTGTTTAATGGTGTTTATTGGTGTTTTTTGGTTATTATTGTTGTTTAATGGTGTTTATTGGTGTTTAATTCTGTTTAGTGGTGTTTAGTGGTGTTTATTGCTGTTTTTATCGTGTTTATTGGTGTTTAATGGTGTTTATGTGTTCCTATTGGTGTTTAATGGTGTTTATTCTTGCTCATTGGTGTTTTATTGGCTTTTAATGGTGTTAAATGGTGTTGAATGGTGTTTAATGATGTTTATTGGCGTTTATTCGTGTTTATTGGTGTATATTGGTGCTTAATGGTGTTTATTGGTGTTTACTGGTGTTTAATGGTGTTTAATGGTGTTTATTGGTGTTTATTGGTGTTTATTTGTGTTTAATGGTGTTTAATTGTGTTTATTGGTGTTGATTCGCGTTTAATCGTTTTTTTGTGTTTAGTTGTTTTTATTGGTGTTTATTGGTGTTTAATGGTGTATATTGGTGCTTAATGGTGTTTATTGGTGTTGATTGGTGTTTATTGGTGTTTAATGGTGTTTCAAGGTGTTTATTGGCGTTTAATAGGGTTTATTAGTGGTTACTGGTGTTTATTGGTGTTTATTGGTGTTTACTGGGGTTTAATGGTGTTTATTGGTGTTCATTCGTCGTTATTGGCGTTTAATGGCATTTAATGCTGTTTATTCATCTTTATTGTTGTTTAATGGTGTTTATTGGTGTTCATTGGTGTTTATTGGTGTTTATTGTTGTTTAATCGTTTTTTTGTGTTTATTGGTGTTTATTGGTTTTTGATGGTGCTTAATGGTGTTTAATGGTGGTTATTGATGTTTAATGGTGTTTAATGAATATGATTTACCCTCTGGTAAACTAAGGTAGCGGAAAAGGGCCCAGCAACAGTTCGATGATTTACCTACAATGGTGATTGTCCAGTTCGCTATGTTCGTATACTGGATGGCAATACAAGAAAGGATCTGGTGATGAATGATGCATGATGCATGATGCATGATGAATGATGAATGATGAATGAATGAACCGTTTCAAAAGGCAAAGTGGAGGAGGAACTGGTCCACAATTCACTTCGATCCAGATGGCCGAGATCTCTGGCTATATTTCACCACAGTAGCCAGCTATATCCCAACTTATGAAGGTTGCAATCCCATGGTTATGCCGCATAATATGAACCATCACTATAAAATACTATCTATATATATACATACATACATATACCATACATACATACATTGACATACATACATACATATATACATTCTCCATATATATATATTACCATATTAATCTATTTGTAACATTGACGTTTTATCTCTTCATATCTGGCATCAACGGCCCACCTTGGCATTTCTGTAGGGCGTGATCACCTCATTGGGCAAGATCTGCTTCAAGGCACCCTGCGGCGTTGTGAAAAACGGTCAAACGGCGTCGAATGTGTCATTTGTGGTGTGTATTTAATACCTATATATATACTACTATCATATATATATATACTACTATCATATTATATATATATATGTACGATACTTAATGGGAAAATCTATGGTAAATATGGAGAAATCTATGGTTTCCGGTTAAGAGTTTCCCAACACCAATCCATTGATATGAAATGATCATTATGCTGCTGTGAATTAATATATTGTGATCATAGACCAATATCCATGACTGTGAATCATGTGTTGAATTGTGTTTTTGCATTAAACAAAACTCTAAATAAAAAGCTGACGATTCAAGATGCGCATCTGTATGACATATGTTCAAATTACAGAGAATGTTGTACAGGGAATCGGACCAAAACGCTGATGTTAAGCAAGTGTTCGATGGTGAATGTGACTAACAATCCTTCAATGGAACATTCATACCCCCAAACTAAAGCTTGATCAGAGACAGCATGGTTTGAAACCACCGGTTTTGTTGACTAGTTATACATCCCATAATCTCATTCATATCCAAACATGCCGTTCATATCCATTAAAACCCATAAAATGCCCATTGAATCCCATTAAAACCATTGAAAACTCATTAAAAGCCCGTAAAATCCAATTAAGATCCTATCATATCCCATTAATATCCCATTAAATCCATTGAAATCCCATTAAAACCCATCAAAACCCCTTAAAATCCCATGATATAAATCCCATTAGAATCCATTGAAATCCCATTAAAACTCATCAAAACCCCTTAAATCCCATTCGAATCCATTGAAATCCCATTAAGATCCCATTAAAATCCGTTAAATCCCATTGAATCCCATTAAAATCCCATTCATTAAATCCCATTAAATCCCACTAAAATCCTTATGAGAACTCGCTTCAAATTGCCCCCTGACCCCATGGGTCCCATGGCCAAACCTCCAGCTTGGTTTCGAGCAGCGTCAGGGTGTCGCTCTTGCCCGGGAACAGCCACCCTGGGTCCCCAGATTTGGAAGATTCATCAATGGATAAATATCTATATACATGGATATATAAACATTGATATTTTCAGGGTCTATATATATATATGTGTATATATATATATATGGATACCCTCTGGTAAATAAACATGGACCCTGAAAATCACCAATTGTTTGGTAAAACCCAACTTCCAAAGCCTATTTTTTGCACGGTCGATCTGATCATCTTAGAGGTGTCCAGATTTGCCACGATCAATCCCCACCTGGATTTGTTCTCAACACCTGCGCAGGGCATGCAGTGCGAAGGGACATCTCAAGATGTATCAAGATGTCTCAACTGGTTTTTTTCAAGATGCTACCTTGGACCTTGGCATAATCTTTAGAATTTGAAAGCTGTTCAAAGGTTTCACGCATTAAGAATAGGATGTGCCCAGTCTCAATATCAACCACCATGACAGTTTTGAACATGTGTTTTCTCCGCGCATGAAGAAGTAATAACAAGTAAATAACAAGTAGTTCGTTTCACGCGGACAAAGAAACAATCGGTTCGGGTCAAAAAACTTGAGGCCCAGGGGTAAGAGACGAAAGCTAGCTTTGGCAGGGAGCTTTGCATGAAAACACAATGATGCTGTCGAAGGTGTCCTCTGGGGGGGGGAAGGGAGGGGTATAACTATGAAGTTTCATGCGATTGGAGTTTCAGCCCCCCCAATACCTTGCTAAAGCAAGAGGGACTTCAGCTAGCAGAAGCTAGATTTCGTGAAAACTCTAAAATCCATGTGATTCTTCTTTTAATACACCACCAATGATGGAACCCCCAGTCCCATAAGGTCTTTTGAAAAACAATAAAAAAAATAAAACAACCTAAAAATCCATATCTGTATATATGGTGCAGCGTTGGCCAGCCCTCCTCCCCCCCCCACCAATGGGTATGGGTGGACAGCATCGTCTGGTTCTTCTGGTCCCCCCCCCTGTGGCCTGTGGTGGTGGTATGATTCTTCTGGTCCCCCCCCCTGTGGTATGTTGGTATGTTGGTATGTTGGTATGTTGGTATGTTGGTATGTATGTAATGTAATGTAATGTAATGTAATGCAATGCAATGCAATGCAATTTAATGTAATGTAATGTAATGTATGTAGGTAGGTAGGTAGGTAGGTATGTATGTACGTGTGTACGTGTGTACGTAGGTACGTAGGTACGTAGGTATGTAGGTAGGTATGTGTATGTCTGTATGTCTGTATGTCTGTATGTCTGTATGTCCGTATGTCCGTATGTCCGTATGTCCGTATGTCCGTATGTCCGTATGTCCGTATGTCCGTATGTCCGTATGTCCGTATGTCCGTATGTCTGTATGTATGTATGTATGTATGTATGTAGGTAGGTAGGTAGGTAGGTATGTATGTCTGTGTGTGTATGTGTGTGCGTATGTATGTATGTATGTAGGTAGGTAGGTAGGTAGGTAGGTAGGTAGGTATGTAGGTATGTAGGTATGTATGTATGTATGTATATACATATACACCACCACAGGGGCATCATACCCCCCCCATCCCATGGGGGGGTGGGAACACGGGACACGGGACCATATATATATATATATATCTATCTATCTATCTATATCTATCTATCTATCTATCTATATATATACTATAGGTGGCTACATCCCATCCCAGTTTATGAGTGATATCCCCATTGGAATCCTCCCATAGTAACGCGCTTTGCCGCACCTGTTGAAAGCTCCGGGTGGCTGCGAGCACCGGGCCCAGGGATGAAGCATGTTGGGCAGAGTGTTCCTACCCCCCCCCCAAAAAAAAAAGGATTATGGCGATCACGAAAAAATACACATGTATGAATATGTATAGTTGTATCTCTATGTATGTATGTATGTATGTATGTATGTATGTATGTATGTATGTATGTATGTATGTATGTATGTATGTATGTATGTATGTATGTATGTATGTATGTATGTATGTATGTATGTATGTATGTATGTATGTATGTATGTATATGCATATGTATATATATATATATACATATATATATATACATATATATATATACATATATATATATACATATATATATACATATATATATACATATATATATACATATATATATATATATATACATATATATATATGTGTGTGTGTGTGCGTGTGTGTGTTTTTTTTATGTATTTAATCTAATATGTTTTTCTGATATGTTTGCGTAGTTTGTGATATACATATATATATATATAATTATGTGTGTGTGCAACCTTATGTATATATATATATATGACACCTATATGTAAATCTATGTGTATGTGCCACTATCTGTATAATATATACATATATATATATGCATTTATTAGAATTGCTATTAGTATTATTGTTATTATTGTTGTTGTTCTTAGTACTGTTAGTAATATCATTATTGTCAAAATACTCTTTCATATGATGATGGTAGAATATGGTGCCAATGTACCCGCAGATTGCGTGTATCTTTTTGGATCGTTTGGGGGTCAATAATGTGCGTTCCATGGGTTTGTGTTTCCACTAAACATGATCCAAATCATTAGGTTTCCATCTGCCTAATGCCCCTAATCCCCCATACCCATATTCAAAGGAATGCAACGAACAGCACAAGGAAATGATAGGGACCAAACGCATTCCCAAGCAGTGTGGAGATATTCGGCCAATAGTTGGGTATGTCAAACCATTGGGAAACTGCAGAAACCCACGGAATGACGGTGGATTCAGCATCCGAAATCTTGTTTTTTTGTTCGACCCAAGAACTTAAGCAGAGCCATGCAACTTCTCAAAAATTGGACACCAACTAGAAGTAGCAAGTACTTCACTAAAAAAAAGGAATAAAAAGAATATGGGCTTGTCTGAAAATACCGTTCCCATTAAAATAACCATTGGTTGATTATCATATTCCCGTTTAAAGCAACCATTTGGGGGCTATACTCTATGTTCAGACAGACCCATATGTAAATAAGAGTCAATTGATTGAAAATTGGAAGAACCAAAGAATTCTGACCAACAATCCGAAGAAAAGCTCAAAGCGTCCCCCAGAATGTGCCCTCTGGAGGTTCCCAGGGTGCCATCGCCAACACTTCCAGCCATGGTCCACTTAGTTCAATGATTTACCTCTTTTTTTCATGATAGGATTGTTCTGACCAAAATGATCAAGGTGGCAAACTGTCAGTGATGTATCATATGCATCATATACTATAATAATATGTATAAATATATATATATACATCTATCTAGATCTTCCCAAACTCTTCCCATCGGCGGTGGCAAAAAACCAGGACCAGTCGTCCTCCCAATGTCCAGCATCCAAGTCGTCCCAGCCTCAAAAAAAATGGGCCAGAAACATCTAGAAATTGCACAGCTCTTCAAAGATTTTGTTCAAAAAAATCCTGGGAGAATTGCTGATCTTCAATTTTTTGGGGGGGGTAAGTGAACTGCCATTATTTTTTGTTGTCAACTTTTTTAATGTCAAAGTGAAGTGAGGGCGCCCTGAGCTAGGAGGGCAGTATACCTAGGGTCGATTGCATCACCAGTTCTGTTGTCAATCCGCTGCTGTTGGGGCACTTACTTTGGTATCTGCGCATCGTGATTCAGACTTTTTGAGAAATGCGCAAAAAAAAGGATGAAGACGTTTGCACCTTACCCACTGTCAATTCCATATTCCATATTGGAAAAATTTGGAAAAGTCCTAAAGACTACGGTTTAACATGCAATGGCTTTCACCAGTCACAGAGTTGTGGGAAGTCTTGACACGCTGAATCATCGCCAAAACTCCATGTATCTTAGGGTCCCACGCCAAAAATGTGGCTCCTACGAATCTTCATTTGATGCCTGTGTATGAGAACCTTTGAAGCGATAGAATCTATAGAACTCATTTGTTTGTCTGCAGTTTTTTTTCAGCATGCAGCATGCTAAGCTCAGCGACATTCAATGACTCTCAAGAAGTCAAATAGTTGTCCTTAGCTGTTGCCCGAAGCAGAGGATTCCCCTGAGAGTAGAAGATAATACTTGGGGGGTGGTCCGGGCTTAGTTTTATGGGGCTATGGGATTTTAACACCTCCATAAGTTGGGATATAATGATATAACCCCTACAACTATAGTTACATATTATATATATATTATACAATGTGATCTAACCATGTATAACCCACATATTCGTGGAACTGGAGACAAAAATCTACCCGAAGCCTGCTGGTAGGCCCAAACCGGGGACCCAGTTAAACTCATCGCGAGTTGAGAAGGTCTAATGAGTCAAATAGAATATGTCGGCCACAAAAAAATGACATGGGTGACATACTGTGGATGGTTGCGAAATCCTGCACCACCAAAAGGATGGTTGAAACACGTTGAAACCCTAAAAATAATGGGAAAAACGAACAGTCAACTGTGCCTTGCATGTAAAGTATTCGTTTCATGTTCCATCCGCAACTGGAATCGTGGTACATCCCCCGGTTTTTCGATGCCCAAGGCTCCACAAAGCTTCAAGTGCTCCCCTGTAAAGGGCATCTTGCCAGCTAGCGCCAGCTGGCAACGTGCCCATAAGAAATAGCCCAAGGCGTCATTCCTGTAGTCATGGTGGATGATTCTCCCATCTGACTAGTTTTTTTTGTGACCACCGTTTATGGTCAGTACATGTCAATACTACAGTACCAAGTACTGTACCAACAACGGCTTGAGCGGCTTAGTCCAAAAATACAGGGCGATATGACCAGAAGATGGCAATCAACTGGGGATGGGTCTGAAAGTTTTCATCTTTCCCCTGGCTCCGAAGTGCTTGTTTGATTGAAAGGACCAAGGTGTAGCCTGGTTCTCACTTTCTCATTTGTAACAAACGTGCCAACAGTGTTCATCCAATCCTCAATATAGATGTCCATGAAGCCTGCCCACGGCTGTGGCTCAAATTTCAAAAGCCATTGCAGCAACTGCGGCAAGTCGTTAACCTAACAAGTGTTTTCAAGAAACATCAAGAATTCTTATCACCTAATCTCATATAATCCCATATAATCCCATATAATCCCATATAATCCCATGTTTTCAAATATTCCCCAGTTTTTTAAAAGGGACCTTAGCACCCCAGTTGCGAATCGACCGAGGCACTGCTTGTGGTTGTACCACTTAGTATCTTCTTTTCCTGTCCTGAACGAGCTGCGGCTGCGCCGCGTCAGGACAGGGCATCCCCCTGCGAAAGGTGCTCCAAAAAAAGATGTCAGAGATCTATGCATACAATGTCAATGTTATGTATGTATCTATATACATATATACATATATACATATATACATATATACATATATACATATATACATATATACATATACACATATATACATATATACATATATATACATATATACATATATACATATATACATATATACATATATACATATATACATATATATACATATATATACATATATACATATATATACATATATACATATATATATATATATACATATATATATATATACATATATATACATATATACATATATATATACATATATACACATATATATATATATATACATATATATACATATATATATATACATATATATACACATATATATATACATATATATATATACATATATATATATATACATATATATATATACATATATATATATACATATATACACATATATACATATATACATATATACACATATATACATATATACATATATACATATATACATATATGTGGATCTGTTTATAATAGATATTCATCCAGGTCTTTATCGACTTGATTCAATTTGCATGTTTATTTCTTTACATATATATAGTATACAGTACATGTGCATTGAGTATATTATGTTATGTAATTCTATGTAGCAACATATATATATATAGTTATATATATATATAGTTATATTTTATATATATAGTTATATTTTATATATATATATATTATGTATCTATCTATATCTATCTATATCTATCTATATGTGTCCCTAGTTGTTTCAGGATGAATCTTTTGCCAAAAAACATTTCTTCGGCCTATCCCTGTCTTCACCACCGCTGCCCATGCTGCCCATGCTGCCCAGTGTCTCTCCGATAAATCTGATGTGGGGCCGATCCATCCAAGTTTTTTCGTCACCTTTGGCAAAAAACATGATGCTGGGTCCAGCAGTGAAGTTCACGAATCGTGAAGTTCACTTGGAGTTTTTCTCAAGGTTCATCATCCTCAACAAGTCTTGAGAGGGTCCCAAACTTTCCTTTGGGAAATGGATTGGGATTTTCATCATGGTTCGGACGGACACAGCCAAGTTAGACTGGATGATCCCTGAAGTTAGTCATGTTCAGCTATGCAAATAGCGAAAAATGAGGGATCGAAGCAAGAGCCGACGACACCCCCCCGAGAGGTGCAGCGGGAATTTCCGCCTTTCACTGCCTTGTGGCCATTGATCACTAATTCCATCTTGTGGGACTGGTAGGTTAGCAAAAACGTGGCGATGGCATTCCTCGACAACGATCAGTGGTGTCTGGGTGCTTCGCGATCTTGGAAATACTGGATTCACAGATATAGATTCCTTTACTAGATACCATTCGATTCCATTCGATTCCATTAGAGTGAAGGGAACGAAGTTTGAACGACCAAGAGCGGGGCACTTGTTGGGCTATTCATCGGGATTCCCCCAAGCCGCTAAAGATCCCATCGCGCACAAACCATGCGACCCGGGTGACCACAGAGACGAGGCCAAAATTGGGCCAAAACATCTACCTTCGAAGCTTGGCAGACCTATTTTTGGTATGTACAACTGAGTAATGTGTTTTTTTCCTCTTTACTGTAGTTTTCTTCAGATGATTTGAAATCGATGATTTGAAATTCAGCCCCGCTGCGGAGTTTCCACCACCCAGTTTCTAGCCGCAGCCCAAGTTGCAAACATGCCACAGCGTCGTCACCACCTGCACCGTCTGGATCAGTTAGCCAAATGCCATAAGCGATAATGCAGTTGTCTCCTCGGATGTTCATCCAAGTTGATGAAGGTCAAGTGCTGACGCGGTGGATTCAGAACCAATTGGTGCTTTGATGTTTCATAAGTGGCAGTCACATGTGGTCACCAGGAAAGGACCATTGGTTGACAGAACCAACCGAAAAGTGAACGCCACAGCCCATCCAAGCATCTTAACCAACTGCCAAACCTAAGCTCTGCGAGGAAGTTGGCAAGAAAAACAGCAAATGAATCAGCAAAACTAGGAGCACAAACCCCAAGGATGGGTTACGCCATCTATTAAAGGCCTAAGGGGTGCAACGTTAGGATCCACGTTGGAGCATGGTGATTCTCTCTTGAGGTCGTCCAAGGGCTAGTGCTATGTCCTCTGGGACATCCATCACGGGAAACATCGCGGACAATAACTGAGATAGAACTATAACATCCTAAAGCTATAGGCCAATCGAAAATGAAATCTAGAGCCTGAATATAGTTCTAGCTGAACATATTTCAACATTTTTTTGAATCTATGAGAGACATTCTATAAACTACCACCCCAAGT